GGGGGGGGGGGGGCACCTGGCACCAAATGGCACCTGGTCAGGATTTGGTCTGGTGACCTCACTGAGAGGCTACAGCTCTACCAACTGAGCCACCGTGCTGCCATGTATACTGAATACTGTTCTTTTGTCAAATCTTAATTTATTTTTGGAAACCTTGGACACCGCATCTTCCTTACTTAAGATGGCCGGGATCATCCTGCCTGTTATCACCACTCAGTTAAAAAGCATGCCTCTCTCATGGTATCGGAATATGGAATGGACAACCTACACGTCTGGAAACACATTAATAATAATAGAAAATGTTTTGTAAAGAACCGGTTTACTTGGTGTCATCTTTTGCTCCTGCTGTGCTGTTTGAACCATTATATCACAATGTCACATTGTTACACAACCGTCCCACCTCAGACCCCTCTCCCTGCTGTTACATAACACATTGTCTCCTACAGTCTTTATCTAGGGCCTCGTGCATGAGCTTAGTTGTCCAGTTCACGCTGTAGAATCCACTCGACTGTCACTGGACTTCCCAACATGTTTGCTGAGTTTATTTTAGTTCTGCTGTCTCTGTCTCTGACTGCTGCATCTGGTCCAGGCTGTGATGAGCTGATCAAACCCCTGGAGGACCGAACCAAGGTACACAGTTCTCAGCACTGATCCGCGTAACGCATCAAGTTTTATTATAAAAGGTTTTATTTTAAAACTGACTGAACATATACTACTGTACAGCAACAAAAGCATAGTTTATCATTCAGAAAACTCCAACATCTTGAGTTTAAACCTGAATAAGATGGAAAATAGTTTAAAGAATCACTGCAAGAGGTTTCCAGAGTCACCTGGATTTCTTTTTTGTCAATTTGTGCCTATAGGTTTATGGAAAATGGATATTTTATGTTGCGGGATCAAACAATGAAGAGTACATGAAAGCAATGAAAACTGCCAACAGCTCCTGGGCAGAAATTTCCCCCATACCTGGCAGTGATGAATTTAACATGCATTACGTAGATAAAATGTGAGTATTAGTTTTTTTTTACCTTTAAAGTAGCCATTTTATTTAAAACAGCTCTATTATAAATATAAAAATAACCCTTTGTGCTCATTTCTGACTTGAAAGTGATGGAAAATGCCTTCCTGGAACTGTTAATTCTACCACTTTAGGAAGCGCCATCAAGGTTGTGTGTAAGTAGATGTTTCAACACGTTTAAAACAAAAACAATTCTCTGAATGTTTGACAAAGAGTAAACCTCGGCTGCGTCTTGTTCAGTTCACTTCAACTCCACCGCTGTTGAGCACACCGGACGGTACCTGGAGACATGCCCCGACTGTGTCCTCTGGACAGACAAGGTCGTGATGGAAGTGGACGGGGTGACCAAGAAAAGCAAAAACCTTTTCCTTTTTAGTAAGTAAATGATCGTTTTTTAATTCAGTGCAACATTAATCTTCAGAAGATAATCGGGACAAATTCTGTACCTCTCTCAGCAAAGACGGAGAAACTGGAGGCATCTCATGTAGAAGTTTTCAAGAAGCAGGCGGAGTGTCTCAAACTTTCACCCAATTTCTATTTTCCAGACACCACAGGTGAGACTTTCTTTTCTCTTTAACGCTAAGAATAACACTTTATCCGGCGTTAATGAGACGTGATTCCCTTCCTGTTTCAGACCTGTGTCCTGATGAGAAGGAGCCTGCTGCAGACAGAACCACTGAGGAACAGTAAACGGTCCTGATGTTGTTCTGGGTTGATGGTGCTTTCTTTGAAATGACAAAACTTAAGAATCAGTTGTGTGAAAAATAATCACTTTGTAGCAAATTCTTCACTTTGATGTTTTATAGAAGTACCTTTGGTTGTATGGGAATTAAATATTCAGACTGGTTTCAACTGTTTTCAGTCTAATAAATTCAGAATGATATAAATGTCAGTTTTATTTCATGCATATAACGTTTAAGAAAATTACTCATTTGAAATTGTTTCTTTGCACGAATTGTTTAATGCTGTGGGTTTTCCCAACATTATCTTAATTGGTCTCAGGGTTCACGTTTCTTAATTTAATAAGCAGGTTTCCTCAGCTGATGATATCCTAACTCCTAGGGTGCAAAAACACACCATTTAAAAATTGAAGCTCCACAGAATAGAATATAAAAATATGTTTGTAACTCACTTTTACAAAAAGAGGCCACAGAGGGAATGTTAAGAAGTTTGATCATTTCAATCATTCTTTCTTTTCCTGCTCTGTCTCTCTGGTCTTGTCCTTCGCTGCTTGGGGACCCTTTGATTTATAATAGTTGTTATGAAACGCAGCCTTTAAAAAAATAATTTGCATTTCACTTTAATTTCTTTCAATCAAGGTAAGCCCTAAAGTGAATATTTTCTTCTGAATGTCATGATTTTAGCAGGATTGGACCCAGACAAAACCACAAACCAACAATATTGTGAAAGAGAGTAGAGGACAGGATGGGAGCCGGTGAGAGAGGGCGAGGCGGGCTGACTAAAAGAGTAAATGATGGCACAAAGGAGAGCTGAAAAAAATCATCACTAATCATAAACAATCCCAGGAATAAAACCAAAGTGACTGTAAACACACCACAGAAAACACAAATTCTGATGGTGAAGGTGGGTTCTTTGGAAAGATTGTGGACAATTAGTATCTTACCTGCTGCAGATAGCTCTTTGAATGACCTTACTTTGGAGAAATAATATTTAATTCTCACAAAATTTTCAAGCTAATGCCTCATCTTTAATAATTGTGAATTACTTTTGATTCATATCAACTTTCAACTATACAATTTCAAACAGTACTTTATAAATATTTACATGGCTGTAATTTGATTTTGTATTATGCAGCTGTTTAGTTAAAATCCCAAGATTATTTTTAAGCATAGCTTTTAGCTGATGCAATCTGGGGCGATTTCAACAAGAATAGCTTAATAGCTTTTTTTTTTACCAAAATACTTGTGCGATGTGACACCAGTGCAGATGTAAAAGTTAATAAAATAATGTTATAACAAAGTGCTAAAATAAAATTAAAAATGTGTTTTAGACTGGAGTGGTCAGACTAGCTGGTCAATCTGATCAGAACTAAATAATCTACAGGTATCAGAATAAATATTCACAACTTTTCTGCAAAACCTCCATTTTTGTTTTAAGCTTTGAGAAAATGTAACATGCAAGGATGAGAAAAGAAGAGGAGTCGTCTTCTGATGAAGCTTTGGACAAAATTAAGCTTTTATCCCAGATTAATGTGTGAACTGGTTTGTGCATAATATATGGAGAACTGGAACCATCAAAGTAAATGTGAACCTTTTGACAAGCATTTGTTTTTGCACGAGTAGAAACCATTGCAGATATTCACCCAGCACCTCATCAGTGGCTCAAGCAGCAGCCATGCACTGTCAGAGAACAGCAATATGCTAAAACATTAGTGATGCCTGTGTGTGTTTGTCTTTCTGTCCTGTTTTTGTGTGTGGGAGCTTTCATTCGACATTGTGTTCACAAATTCAAAGACACAGGGCTCTTGGTATTCCCACTTTGCCAGCTGGTTATTATGTAACAAGATAAATAGGACAAAAGTCCCCGCTGACTGGAGACGACAGCACTTCTTTCCAGAGAGAAACTGTGTGTTTGTATGAAGTTATGGAGGAGACCATATTTTAATTAAATCTCACTGAGAGCATTAAGTCAAAAGGACATAGATCTCTCAGGGTGAATATTTGCTTTAACGGGATGTTTTATGCAGGTGGTTCAGTTCTGGCTTCATTTTAAGTTTAAAAGAAATGAATGCAACAATTGTGTGAGTGGCCCGGCCCCCTGCTAGAAGCCGTCCCTCGGCTCCTGGGATGAGGCTGGCAGCAGGAGCCCTGACATTAGTGTTGCTCTCTGGCTGCCTGCTGTCTCCAACCATGGCTGCACAGCTGGTCGTAGCTCTGCTGGCTTTCACCTCCCTGAGCGTCGCCTCTGAGCCGGACTGTAAAGAACTCGTTAAACCTCTGCTGCTGGACAGCCACAGCCCTGTGAGTATCTGGCTTCATTTGGTAGGAGAGAGTCGTGCGTCAGCTTGAAGTGCAACAGATCCGAACAGCTGAAGTAAATCCACAAACAAAACAACGGGCTAAACTGTGACTAAAACTACCTGCACTATTTAATGGTTCTTTGTAATTTATTATAAATTATTCATAGTTCTGCAGTACAAAGACAACATATAAGAATAAAACTGTATTTTTTTATTCATTCTACAATATTAAAATATAAAGCATATTGAACTTTATTGCAATATTTAAACAGATTGCAGTTTAATGTTGACAGCCTTTATTATAACTAAAAGTGTTATGTATGTATATATATATATATATATATATATATATATAT